AAAATGTAAGATAGCTATATACATGTGTATACACATATATAAAAACACGCTTTGAAAATAAAAATAAAGAGAAAGTACAAAATAAATATAATGAGTTCATACATAAATATTTAATGAATTAATGAAACTAATTTAAAGAGGACCATGCCGATTCTTTAAAAAAGGTGTAAAAAATATTTAATAAGACTTTTTTTATAGTGTCGCCTGTATTTTTAAATAAGAGAAAAAGAGAATGTTCTTATCTTTTCAGTTTTTTAATATTTTTTAGACTCATAATTTTTAAACTTTTTACCCTTTTTTCCTTTCTTTTTATAAAATCAAAATTTCACAAATTTTAATTGCTTTATTTTTATCTTTGTTTTTACTTTTATGTTTTATTAATTTCAACCGTATCATATTTTGTACATTAAAATTTGTTTATTTGGCTCATAGCCTTTAGCATAATTTCTTTTATTTTAATTGCTTTAATTATTTCATACAGAAATTTATTAAATTATTTTTAGAAAATATACAAAATTATGTTAACAATTATGTTTTTTTTTTTTAAATTATACCTCCTTATTTAAAATATAAGACTCGATTCGATTATACTGAATATTTGATTTACAATGTATCCTTTTCTAATTCTTAAAATTAAAAACAGATGGAAAGTCAATTAAATTAAGATTAGAATTGATCTATATTGATGAGTCATTCTATATTAAACCGAATACCTTTGAAACATCGTTATTTTTAATTTTTTTTTAATTTTCTGATATATTCTCCAGATAAAAATATGAGACACGTGTCTTGCGAAAAAAATTTGAGATTGTTTTTGTGAAATTCACGCTTGTAAGTTGCAGAAATTTATTTAAAAAATGTCGTTTATGCGAATATTCAAATTAATATATCGTCGAAACCATTAGTGCAAAAAAAAAGCAACAGACCAACTTTAAAGATCTTAAATTGTTATATGGATGGGTTATTTTTAATTTATCATTTTTATATAAATAAATCATTTTTCATTTATTTACAATTTTTATTAATATTTTTCATTATCAATTCACCAACTAAAAAATTTTATAAAAATATATTCCCATTTCAATTACGAAGTAACCCCAAAAATTACAAAATGGAACTAAAAAATGGAATGTATAGTTAAAAAATTCTGTTGTGCGACGGCGCGGTTTTGCATACATATGCGAAAAAATAGCTCTACAAGAATATGTATTTGATTTTTCATTTGCAGCTTATTTTCTTTATGGCTGTGCTAATTTTAGCTTAAACTATCACAGCCATAAGTGTACTTTGCTGACAGTGAATCGGCTGGAGCAAAAAAGTCGGGAAGAGAGCAAATAATTAGCAAAAAAATAGCAAAAAAATGTGGTATAGGTCGCATTCGATTGTGCTGAAGTGGCTGTACCAGTTTATAATAGACATCAATTTAAGATCTTTTCATTTTTTTTTACGACTAATGGTTTCGATATAATAATTTAAATGTTCAATTGCATGAACGACATTTTTTATGAATTTCTGCAACTTACAAGCGTGAATAACTTTACAAAAGAATCTCAAATTTTTTTTGCGAAACATCTTATATTTTTATTTGTAGAATATATCAGTAAAATAAATAAAAATTAAAAATGACAATATTTCAAAGAAAATATTGCCCGGTTTGACGTGGAAAGCCTCTGGTGAAAACAGGCACAAGTATAAAAAAAAAGATAAACCGTAAACTTGAATAAATTGAACCGAAATTAAAGTTAACTTATTATTGATAAAAAATCGGGCCTAAATTAATAATATGTAAAGATAATATAAAAACTAAAAGCATATGCTTTGAGACTATGATGAAAAAGTAACAAGTATAAATATATTCAGTTTATACAGATATTTAATGAATTAACAAAATTAATAGAACCGTGCCTATAGTTATACAGGGTGGGCCATCTATTGGTACGTTTTTAAAAATGCGATCAAATGAGCATACATTGATATTTTTTATTAATTTTTTTTTTGTTGTGAAGCTAAAATTCAAAAACGTACCAATAGATGGCCCACCCTTTACTAAGGAAAGACCAGACTTAATTTAATAAGATTTTTTTTATTTGTTATTTTTTGTATCTCGCAACGAGAGAGGGAGAGAAAGAGTTTTAATTTTCTCAGTTTTATATTTTTTAAGAACTTATAAATTTTAGATTTTAATTATTTTTCTTTTTTTTTATTATTAAAAAAAATCAGAATTTCACGAATTTTAATTCTAAAACAGATCTTAGAAATTTATTAAAGAGAGAAACATTTGTACAATAAACATAAATTTATTGTAGATAAATATTATACATATATAATACAGCAATAAATATATTATGTATATTAGGCCTACGGAGAAATTATTCTCATATTGAGTTATTCTGATTTCTCAGCCGCTGTCTGAATTCGTATTACGGCAGGAAAGAGCTAAAGTGTGATTAGAAACAAGGCTATTGTTAATACTAGTATTCTACTTAAATGAGATTCCTTCTTAGTTCTTACATCAGACTAGTACACTTAAGACTAGACTTATTCAGAGATTTGTGTAATTACATGTATGAAATTATTGATCAAATGCATGTGTAAAATTGTGTAATAAAGATAAAAAAACAGGTTTTTTTTTTTCGGAATGAAAACCCGAGTCTTTTAAAAAAATATCAAGTTTGATAAATTGATTATCTTTTCGAAACTGGATTGAATTGCATGTTTGTGGCTATCGCCATTTAGAATTAACCATTGTTCTGTAGTTTGATTGTTTATAATCATCTTTATCAGAATAAAAAATCTTTTAGATGAATGCAAAAACTTTTTTTCACATCTAGAACAATAATGTAGAGTTAAATATTCAAAGAAAATGTATATGGTATTCGAGTAAAAAAAACTTTTATAGTCAAAGTAAAAACTGATTTTATTAGGGTTTTTTTTTATTCAGTCTTTCTAGTTTTTTTTAGTAATTTTTAATTCTAAATGGATATTATATCGTTACGTCATATTAAATGTATTATTAATTTTTCTATGCATATGCATTACGCAAGTCAAATTATCTAACATAAAATATGCGAATTAAACTGTAAACGCAATTTTTTTTACTACGTTATTAAAATCGATAAGATTATAAATCACGTAGTTTTTTTTGTAAGTTTTATCGAATCATTTGTAGACGGTTAAAAAATATTCTGTCGGCTTATGCAGGGTATAATTCAAAGTATAAAATCCATTGCGTGACATAACTTCTTATAAACGAATGACTCATGCGAAGAGCTGATACCGAACATCGTTTCTCGTGTAATGAACAAGTGCACTATTTTACACTCTCATGCATAATCAATATTATCTCTTTCATTTCTTTTCTTTTTCTTATTATAGTTAAATAAATATTTGTTTTAAATAAAATCTAAAATAATATTATAATAAAAGAGAATAAATATTTTTCCTGGGATTTAAATAGTAAATCTAATAAATATTAAACTAATTTAAATTTCTTATCGACAAATAAGCGAATCATAATAATTCTATATAAAATAAATATAATTACAAATTTTCTTCGGAAACTAAAGTTAGTAATTTTACTGAGTTTTTAAAATATATTTGTTTATATATTTTCTTTTTTTAATTTAAAATACAAAAGCAAGAAATTATTTAAGTTAATGAGATAAACGATATTTTAAGAAATATTTGTAAAATATTTGAGAATTTTAATAATTTCTGTGTTTAATAAATGTTTAAGAAAAATGTTATCTATAAATATACATATTTATTTTTATACAAATATCATTATGTGCACTTAATTTTTATCTGTTCAAAAAATTACAATTTCTAATTTTTTTAAATTTCTTATATATATTAAGTAATTTAAATTTTATTATAAATAACTACTTTGTGTGCGTGCGTGTGTACATGCAATATGAAATATTTAGTTAATTTTGTTTCCATTAAAAGTCGTATTACATTCTTTCGCTCTTAATTAATGCCTTATTTATTAGAAAATTAATTAAATATACTATTAGTGTAAATTTTAAATTAATTTGAGATAATTAAATAATATTGTTTGATTATCTCAAATTAATTTTAAATTTACTGTAATAATATAATTAATATTTTACTGGTTATGTCCTATATAACATCATTATATAGGAATATCTTTTGAGAGGTAAGAAACAAATTGTCGTTCCTTTGTTGGAGTTCTTCATTCAATTGTATTTTAATATTATATTTTATATTAGGCGAATTAAGTCATTAATTCAGCTCATTAACTCAAATAAATCTTATCAGACTTTAATACGTAGGTCATGAAGAACTCAATTAAAAAATGTCTTATGTATAATATTATATATATATATCTTTATATATGCTTTGTGTGAACGCAGTCTGTGAAACTTCGTACAAACAACAATATTTCAATCCATTGTAAAATACTATCTAATATATTTATAGTAATACATTGGTAGTAGGTATATGTAACAGTAATGTATAAGAAAAATATCTCAATGTACAAGAATTAAAGCTAATTTTATCGGCTATTTTGTTTCACAAAATAGTAGATTATTTAAAGAAGATCTGCACATATTATTATTTACAAACAGGTTACCAGTGAAGAAAATGGTCATTGCATATGGTATGGAGAGTGTTACACAGATGCATCTATGCACATAAAAAATTGTATTTATGATGGGCCAGCAAAACCATTAAATTCTGAAGGACAGAAATTGTTGGCTAAGCATTGTCCACATTTGTTAGTAGATGAGGGCAAAGGAATTAATACTTGTTGTGATACAAAGCAACTTACTACATTAGACTCAAATATCCAGCTTGCGTCAAATTTTCTAAAACGATGCCCTAGTTGCTTAGATAATTTAGCAAAGCATTTTTGTGACTTCACATGTGGTATTAACCAAAGCAAATTTATCAATGTTACGGAGAAAGGCGTGGCAAATGGTAATTATTATATTCTATCTTTATACATTAAAAAAATGTTTAAAACTTAATATCTTACAGTTACAACATTTTGATACGTGTTTTATTATTTTGAATTTCTTTCCAGATGTAGAATATGTTAATAGAATAAATGTATATATAACGAACAAATATCTTGATGGAACATTTAACTCGTGCAATAAGGTGTCAGTGCCGAGTACGGGACAGTTAGCATTGGATTTAATGTGTGGAGAATGGGGAGCGAGTAGATGTACTCCATTGAAATGGTTTCACTTTATGGGTGATGCAGAGAATAATGTTTTTGTACCTTTCCAAATTACATATATAAATACTGATAATCCTGTCGGATCATTTACGCCATTAGATCCTCCAGTCACACCATGCAACAAGGCATTAAACGTTAGTATTACATTTTTAAAAATATATATGTATAAAAAAATATATATTATATAAATATATGTATATGTTTTTATATGATATTATGTGTCTACAATAATACATGCGAAAATGCTTTTTAAAATCTATATAGTTCATTTACAGCATAAAAAACTTAAATAAGCAAACTATGCATTCATTTGCTGTGAATTTTTCATTTATAAGGATCTGCTAAATATTGATAAATCATTTTTATTGTGAATATATAAGTTTTCTAAAAAATTGTTACCTCTTGTCTTACATCATGAATGAATTAGTTATGAAAAAAGAAAATAGATTGTAATTATTCAAACATACAATGATACAAAACAAAAATGCAAATTATTAGATTTTTTATTAATGCACATTTATATTTTTTATTATTCTATGATTTAACGATTAAAAGTTAAGATAGTCTAACAAGTTTCACAATCAGTTATGTAATATATGTAAAAAATATTTATGAATGTTAATTATATATATATATATATAGAATCTTTGCTGATGGACGCATTAATATTTTTATTATTCTGCAATTTAACTGTCAAGTAGTCAAAATAAACAAGTTTTCAATTATATTAGTATATCTAATATTCATTGGTTAAAATTAAACAGACTATTTTATTTTTTTTTACTCTATTTCTATGGGATCCTTCAATTAATAAATTTTATAATAAAACGTATATATAAATAATATAATTTTTATATATACTATAAAATCAAAAATTTGAATATCTAAATATGATTTTTTTTACATTTTATGAT